GACCATTTAACGAGGCTACAGTCAAAAGAGCTAATGATCATGCTGAGTTTGAATCTCAAGTTGCTGAACACAATGAAGCCATCAGTGCCATCGATGAATCCTTATAATTGCTCAGTCAATTGGAATCACCATCCCTTGTCCAAATCCAAAAGGTCTAAAAGAATTTGACCAAAATCCAACAATCCCTCAAGAGACACAGCACCTTCTAAACCTTCATCAAGACTCTCTTAGAAATCGCTGTTGAAGCAAACTTCGCTGATCAAGGTGCTCTTAGAGAAGTAACCAATCCTTATTAACTCGCCCTAGATTCTTACTGCATTCAATAATTTGAGAGTCCAATTGGTTGACTCCCTCAATCAACTCACTGCTGACGAAGCTGAAGCTTAAAAAGACTTCGAAGCAAGAGTTATCTAATTAAACCAAGAACACGCTGAATTCCAAAGAGCTGTTGTTGTCAAGACTGCTGAAATCGAGGCTAATGCAAGTAAGCACATCTTACTATTGACTTCTAGACAAGATTGAGTAAACCCTTGATTTGATCGATGTCTTACATGCTGATTTGGATACTTTGAATGGATAATTGTAAGCAGAAAACGACGACTACGCCTTTGCAACTGATGTCTACAATGCCACCGTTTCAGAATACAATAAGGAATTGAATGCTGCCCATTAAGCCTTGGACTTATTAAACCAACCAAGATTCACCGATTATGTCAAATCCCAACTCAAGGGAGCATTTTGATATTATTCATTCAATAATAGTAAATGAATTCATTGTATAAACCATTCTTCATTAATTCAATTTATTTCACCTTCCATTTGAATATTAAATAAACTCACTCAAACATTTTACACCTTGTGTAACAATACAATAATTATCCTATGACTAAAATAGAGCTTATGAAGCCTGGTTCCATTCTAATTATCAAATCTGAATGGAACTCTACTGTAATTTAATTTAATCATTTTTTTTCTAGTCAAAAGATACAGCACTTAAAGAATTTGAATTACAATTTATATTAAGATGTCGCAAACACTTTACATTCATTTAAACTATAAGGATTTAATTACTATTATTTTATTCTAAGAATGTTGCAACAAAGTCATTTACAAAGAAGCTCACTTAACTAGTTGAAATTAGGTAACGAATTTAATTTTTCTATTCCTATTTGGTAAATTCCTCAAAAAGTTCCTAGTTATTTGCTAAATTTGTTAATACTATATTATCTACCTTTTATACTCCCTTTATCTCTTGTTCAATAAATTGATCTAAGAAAGATTGGTAGATACATCAAGTATGAAATGATATTTGAGAATATTATCCTTATGCGATTTTCCATTTTCTCCGATTTGTATTAATTTTGGAAATGATAATCTTTTCTTATCTAATGATATTATCTTATCACCTTTTGTGATTATTCCTTGAAATTGAATATAGCCCCCTCAGCTCATAGAAGTATAAACTGTCTATTTATACTCACTTATTGTTCAAGTTAACTAAGTGGTGCTATTTTGGATATTTACATTGTTATCATATATTTGCTTTTCTCATTTAGTTCCACAATTTCCTTTCATTATTTTATATTTCAAAATCATAGTGATTAAAATAGTTCCAGAAAAAAATAAGTCTATCTATTAACAATTAGCCATTTTTATGATTTATGCTAATCATGTATTATTGATAATTTTAATACATCAAGTTTCGAGAAACATGCCTAAACTTAATCATCATTTATTTCTCATAATCAATTAATTAAAAGCAGTCCTTCTATTACTCAATTTATTAGACATATAATCACATTTCATTAAGACATTTTTCTCATATGATACTCTAATAATCAAGTTTGTCATTAAAACAGATTGTTCATCAACAACAATATTATATAATCGTATCAGATAAAACTAATTGAAATTTGACAAGCAGACAAATAAAATAGAGTTAGTAATTATATTTATTAAATAATAGTTAAATTTATCAACGAAGTTTAAGATTTCTTATTTCTTGAAGTGGTTGCTCTATTCCTCGAATTCTTGCTGTTAAATTTAAATCTTTTGCCATCAATGTTACCCTTTTCGCATGAAAGGTACACTATACAGAATCTTCGAATAAATCTACCATGTATTATTCAGTTAATGTTTATAGACATTCTAAGGATTTACTAGAATATCTAAATTCTTTAAACCCAAGTTCATCCGATACCTTGATTCCTGTCTGCCTTACAAACCTTTAAAATCCTGCTCGGCGGCAAACCAATACACTTGATGCTTATAGTTATCTAATTTCTTATAAAACTTTTGACATCGGTTTATTTCTCTTTTAAAGCTTATCCCTTGCCTTTTATACTTGAATTGCTGAGATCCTTTCTACTTTTTTTTTTTCAGATTTTTTGCTTCTTTCATTTGATTTTTCTGCAATAACACTTTTTTCATCAGAATCAAATAATGAATGCATAAAGCTTGGCATCTTTTCGTTGTTGTCCACTTAAAATGATTAGTTATTATTCTCTTTAGTCGTCTTTTTATTTGCCATTCCCTTTTAACAACTATTTAAAAATAATATTAAAAATTTGTAAGAAATAAATCAATATCTACTCACAATAAAAATGAAAGTGTAGAATTAATAATTCCCTATTTTCTGGGTTTTGGAGTAGGTATTGTTATGATAAAAATTGATCAACATAAAAATGACTGTTATTTCATTAATAAATTTAAGTGAATAAAGTATGCATTTATTATTTATTCATTAATGCGGATAATAAAAATATTGCAATGATTTCAATTAATCAAACTTATCCAATCCTTGTTTCAGATCCTAACATTTAATAATTAATAAAATATTATATAAATAATAATATAGACTATACACTTTGATAAATTCTTTTCAACTAATTAAATCATAGAGAATACTCTCTTTTGATAATTAGAATAATTAAATGAAAAACTAATATTCTATTACATATTTAATATATTAATTTTTATTGAGATCATTCAAATTAAATGGCTTCTATAAATTACAGATGAAGTTTTTTCTTCTTTTTTAGGAATTGGACGGCCCATAGTATTTACAAGTTGGATATATACTGATGTTTCAATGGCTTTCTAGTGCAAGGATCAAAATAACCATTTTTTTTTGTATGATTCTCAATAGCTAATCGTTCATAAGTTTATCCGCTATCAGTTAAAACGGGATCACTAAAACTTTCAAATGTAATTGGACAAGTCAAATGCTCAGGCATATCTTCCTCATGTCCTAAAGGTTTTAAGATAGTTTGTTCTCGTAAAATCTTGGACCAAAGGAATTAAACAAGATTCTCTTTTTGTTCTTACGGTAATTTTGAATTCTCGACATATTTCAACAAATTTAGACCCTCTTCTGACTTTTTAAAATGTTCAATGAGGATTTCAACCTTATTTTTCTCATTGCTTAGATTCATTAATGAATGCAATTATCTAT